CCCCAAAACCCCAAAACCCCAAAACCCCAAAACCCCAAGAATTTTATTTAATCAGAAATGTTAGAAATATTAATGAAGAAATTTTCTGATTATTACTCATGAGCTCCACCAAAAGCTAAAGTATCAGGTTGCTTACTGATATCCCATTTGCAGACGGGACAGGTCCTTCCTCTTTTAAACCAGTTTTCAATACATCCCTTATGGAAGGAGTGGATACAAGGTAGGATTTTAAGATTCTCTCCATTTTCATAAAACTCAAGTCATATCATTCACTTAACATTAGCCTCTTCATCGATTGTCCCTTCTTCCTCTACCTTTTTGCTGAAAATTCTCTCTGGGAGGCACTGAACAAGAGACTTTGAGGCAGGCTTCTTCTTAGACTTATGCCTATGCTGATGATGAATGTTTAACCTCTCCCTTAAATCAGAGATGTCCTCTCCTAGCTGATTAGTCATCCTGAGTAGTTCTTGGTCAAACCTGGATAATTCTTCTCCTTCTAAATTCTCTCTTCTTTCAAGAGCTTGAGACAACTGATACAGATGGCTCCGGTTTCTCTCTTTGTTCTGAAGCCTCTTAGCGAAATTCTTATCAGCTTGGATTTGTTTCCTCTTAAAATTCTCCTGAGTGAAGCCTGTCTGAATCTCAATCCTTGTTCTACCATCTACATACCCATTTTTTGGCCTTCAGTCGTTGACGAAAAACTCGAGGTTTTCGATGAAAATGGTCTCGCCCTTCTCAACAAACCTTGAAAGCCCACTGTGGAAATAGACTTCGAGGTATTTCTTCCCAATGAGTTTCTTATAAGTGTCGAAATTCTCGTTAACTTCTTTGCATGTTTTCTCATCTTTCCAAATAGGTGCAATTCTGATGAAATCAAGAGCTTGCGCATAATCATCAATTTTTACCCGAGTATCACTGTTAAAGTATCCAAAGAACGGCCGAGAGTACTTTATGAGGAACTTGACATCCTCTAGCTCAATCACAGCATGCTTATGAGTGTATATCTCTTTAGGCTTAATGTTTGACAAGAATGGATCGACCACTTCTCTCATAAACTCTCTGGTTGACTGAATGGCGTTCCTCCTAATAGGAATCAGCTCAACACTTTCCATTGCAGAGTCTTGGGAGACTACCATATTTCATCTGATTTTAGTCTTTGTAGTCACTTTTCCCTGCTTGTGAGGAGTCGTAGCAGCGACAAGAAACTTGATCGTACCAATTTCGAACACATTCCCTTTTTGCAAAATTCGAGTCTGAATTTGGAAAAAAGGAAGTAAAATTTGTTTCATCAGAAGATCAAATTTTACGGATTTTAAAGAAATTTTAGCGGCTCTTTCCTCAGGTGTCCCAGAAGGTTGCTCATTTTGAGTTTGAGTTTGGTCACCTTCTTTCTTCTCCTCTTCAAATTCCTGCTCAGCTTTGCCTTCTTCAACCTTTGAAGAGTCTTGATGGATATTGACATCACCAATGTTGTTCAGCCTTTTCTCTTGCTCCTTCTTATCAGTAATAAGAAAATCTTCAAGAAGAGTTTCCTGTATTACCAGCAAAGTAACACTATCAAGAGCTTTAACTTTATTCTTCTCGTCATAAGTTGAGCTCATTTCATTGTCAATATTCTGATTTATATTATGCTCGAAGTCATAAAGCTGCCCTTGAGCAGTCTCTAACCTTCCTTGGAATTGATATTTTTCCTCTTCTTCCTCCTCTTCTTCCTGAAATTCTGGCTCTGCAGAATAAGCAGGAGAATCCTCCAGCTGGAATGGCCCTGATATGGAATTCCGCATTGATGCTGACCGATTATAAGTAGTATTTTGTTGCACTTTATTTAAAAATCTTTGCTGAATCTCTCCATCTCCTAGCAGCAAAGTCGAGTTGGAGTTAGACTTGAACTTGCAACTACAGAAGGGTCAGAGGATCTCCAACTCTAACCCAGTCTCAAGTATCCTTGCAGAGCAATTAGGACATGTTGAGTAATACTCTCGCTCTCCAGGGTCATCTATCAAGCTGATCTCATTTTGTTGAAACATCAGGAGATTATCATGGTTTAGATTATCCTATACTCTAAGTTAGCAAAATTTTCTCTATTTCTTTTATAATTGTACTGAGATTTAGATTAATTTACCTCTAAATTTATTTTTCCAACACCTAATGCGTTGTTCAGATCTTTAGTTCGGGACTTCTTAAATCGAGGATTTTTGTTGTGACTCCAAGAACGTCTCCCATTGTATTCCTCATTAGCTCCTTCAAAGAAGTGATCTCCAGGCTCGCCACCCTGGCTTCCATCCTGGTTGAGAGTACTCTGATTTTTACCCATTTTTTAACAATTTATAAATAAATAAAAGGGGTTTTGGGGTTTTGGGGTTTTGGGGTTTTGGGGTTTTGGGG